TTTTTACTTAAAGTCTGTTTTATCTAATATAAGTATAGCTACTCTTGCTTGCTTTTGGTTTCCATTTTCAGGGAATATCTTTCCATCCCTTTACTTTCAGTCTACATGTTTCTTTACAGACAAGATGAGTTTCTTGTAGGCAGCCTATAGTTGGGTCATTTTAAAAAATCCATTCAACCAGTCTATATCTTTTAAGTGAAAATTTTGATCCATTTACATTCAAGGTTATTATTATGTAAGGGCTTATTCCTTTCATTTGATTAATTGATTTCTGGTTGTTTTATATATCCTTTGTTCCCTTTTTTCCCTTGTTTATCATTATGGTTTCTGATTTGCTGTAGTGGTAACATTTGAGGCCCTTCTCTTCCCTCTTTGTGTGATTGCTTTACTAGTGGGTTTCATACTTTCATGTATTTTCATGGTGGTAGATGTCATCCTTTCACTTTCAGGCGTAGGACGCCCAGAAGTATTTCTTGTAAGGGAGGTCTAGTGGTGATAAATTTTTCTAGCTTTCACTTGTCTGGGACAGCCTTTATTTCTTCTTCATTTATGAAGGATAAGTTTGCTGGATATAGTATCCTTGACTGGAATTTGGTTTTTCTTTCAACACTTTGACTACATCATCCCTTCTCTCCTGGCCTGTAAGGTTTCTGCTGAAAAATTCACTGTTAATCTGATGGGGGTTTCCTTATAAGTAACCAGATGCTTTTTTTCTTGCTGTTTTTATAATTTTCTCTTTAACTTTTGACAATTTGACTATAATGTGCCATGCAGAAGATCTTTTTTAATTATATCTATTTGGGGATCTCTGAGTTTCCTGTATCTGAATGTCTAAATCTCTTGCTATTATTTTGTTAAATGGGTTGTGTATTCCTTTTATTTTCTCTTCACCTTTTGGAACACAAAAAATTTTAAATATTTAGCCACTTTATGGTGTCTCATACATCATGTAGGCTTTGCTCATTCTTTTTTGTTCTTTTGTCTTTATTTTTGTCTTACTGGATTATTTCAAAAGACCTGTCTTCAAGTTCTGAAATTCTTCTGCTTGATCTAGCATATTGTTGAAGCTTTCTAATGTATTTTGTATTTTATTGAATGAATTCTTCAGTTCCAGAGTTTGTTTTATTCTTTTTTATGTTATCTATTTCTTTGGTAAATGTCTCACTCATATCCTGAGGTTTTTTTTTATTTCTTGTATTATTTTTCTTTATTCTCCTGTATCTCACTGAGCTCCTTTAATATTATTTTTAATTATTTTTCCAGAATTTTATTCATTTCCTTTTCATTGGAAATTGTTACTGCAGAACTACTGTGTTTCTTTGGAAGTGTCATATTTCCTTGCTATTTCATACTTCTTGTGTCTTTATGTTGATATCTGTGCATCTGGTGTAACAATTACTTCTTCCAAATTTTAACATTTGCTTTCATAGGGGAGGACTTTTTTCCTGAAGATGTATCTATAGTACTGGTTGGGTGAGGCACTCTGGCTTTGATTCTGGGTGCATGCAGTAGTGTAGTCTCCACATAATTTACTCATCTGTGAGCCGTGTCAGTGGGTCTGTTATTTCCCTAGTGGGTTAGGATGCCATTGTTAGTGGAGGCAGTGGTGACATATTGTTGAAGACTGGAATGCCAGGTGGACTGGTCCTCAGGGCCCATTGGAGGCACTGGTGCCAGCATAAGCTGTCCTTGGGCCCCAGGACAGCTTATGCTGGTACCAATGTTAGTGGGTCTAGGCAGATCAATTATTTGGCCTCCAAGTAACTTCCTCAGGTGCCAGCAGTAGCAGCAGTGGCCTAGGCTGGTGGGTGGATTCCCGGGTTCCTGGGCAGCAGGCATGGCATGAGTAATGGAAGTAGCCATGATAGGACAAGCTTCTGGTTCCCAAGCAGTCTGTGCTGGTGTTGGTAGTGGCTGTGACAGGCTGGGCAGGCCAGTCTGCAGGTCCACAAGTGGTATATGCTGGTGGGTACCAGCTGTGGTGGTAGCAGCAGGTTATGTGGCCCCCAGAAGGTGTACTCAGGTGCCAACAGTGGTGGACTGGGCTAGGAGATCTCTAGGGCCCCCTGCATGGTATGCTGAAGCACTGGGAGGGTGCAAGTGAGCCAGGTGAACCTGTTCTCAGGCCTGTCTTCAGTCCCCACCCCGTGGTGTGTACAGGCACTGGCTTCAGTAGGCAGGGGTCATTCTCAATTTTTATAAGCTCAATGAACAAGGTGTCCATGTGTAATACTTACTAGACTTATAAATACCATCTAATGATTTAAAAGGAAATATGCCACCCTCTAGAAAGAATAGAGAAATGTACTTTCACTCATTTTATCCTTCCTCTGAAGGAAATGGAGCAAAAGCTCTTTCCATTTGCTTTTTAAACAGTCCCTCAAAAAGGCCTTGAAGCCCTGTGAAAAATTTCTAATTATTTTTCCTTTTAGCATTTTACCTGAGCCTTAATAATCCAAGAAAGTAGTGAGTAAAGTATTTTAAGATATTTATGGTCTTTAAATAAAAACATCTTTTGTTTCTTGTGGGATAAAAATAGAAACATTTTCCTTCCATTTACAAAGACGCTGCCAGATGAGTTTTATGGCCAGACTCTGCATGGCATGAGTGGGCCATTTTTACCTCTCCCCTTCCCTTTCTTTTTCAATAGTAATAGTATGTTGAAATACAACTTTCTGAAATACAGCTGCTCCTAGCCTCATTCCTTTCTTTCCTCATTCCTTTCTTTCCTCCTGCTTTTCTGAATTCCAGGATTCCTCCACACAATCAGTATATCCTTTCTCAAGCCCTTTTTTTCTAATCTGAGTGTATCCAACTATTTAAAACCTTATTCACGAAAACAGCATCGTCTTTAATTCATTTGTGTAGTTGGACAGTTCTGGAATTAGAAATGAGGAATAAAATTTCATGTCAAGTAGCTGATGCCAATAGAATACAGAGTCGAAACTAGATCACTCAGCAATGCCCAGAAACACCCGGTATGGTCATCCCTCTGTCCACAGGGAATTGGTCCCAGGAACCCCTGTGGATACCAAAATCCACAGCGGCTTAAGGATCTGATATAAAATGGCATATTATGTGCATATAACCTACATAAATTATCCTATGTACTTTAAATTATCTCCAGATTGCTTATAATACCTAATATGATGTAAATACTATGTAAATATCTGTGGTACTGTATTGTTTAGGGAATAATGACAAGAAAAAAAAAGGTCAGTACATGTTCAATACAGACACAACCATCCAGTTTTTTCCAAATATTTTCCATCCCCATTTGGTTGAATCCTGAATGCAGAACCCATGGAGACAGAGGGCTGACAGTACTTCACTCTGTGGCACTGGATCGGCCCAGTTGTTTGTTGTTTCTGCCTCTACTGCTCTAAGGGAGTCAGCAGATGACTTACCAAGGCAGGAGCATCATCTAGTGGTGAATATTGGCAACTACAGGCTATACCGCGACTCTAGCTCCTTCCCAGGGAATTGTTCAGGCAAAGTACAGGGACAGGGATTGCATCTAGTGTCACTTATGATCTTTTTTTTAGACAGACTGAAAAACAAACTTTATTTAAGACAAATGGTCTTCACCACACATTTTGATACAAACAAAAAAAGCTGCAAACAGGTGGTAGGAGATAAGATGAGGTTTCCATGGGCTTCCTCCTGTCTCCCTACCTCTTCCTCCATACCTCCTTTTCTCCATGTCACTTCTCTACTGCAGCTGTGCATTATAATCACCTGAAGAGCTTAAAAATCTACGACTGCCCTTTGCCCATACAATATTTGGGACATACTTATACTAATGAATTATTCATCGTTTGTCTGAAATCCAAATTTAACTTGATGTCCTTTACTTTTACTTGCTAAATCTGGAAACCCTAGTAAGACCACTTCAAAATATATTAAATCAGAATGACTTAGGGTGGGGCTTAGGCATAAGAAATTGTGCAGATGTTCCCCAGGTGATACTGTTGTTTGCTATAAGTTAGAACCATGGACAGTAGGGCTTTTATTCTCATTTGGAGCCATTTGCCTCATACTCACTGAGCCTTTGTTCCTCCACCAAACTGAGGGTTGGGCTGATATTTCTCGTGGCCCAATAACAAGATGTAGATGAACTGAGGAGGAAAAGAGTTTTTATTTCTGTAACCAGTTATAGGGAGAAGGCCTGGAAATTATCACCAGACCAACTGAAAATTACAGTTTTTTTCAGAGCTTCTATACCTTCTATATGTCTACATGTAAGTATGCATTCATTTAAAGACATGCGTGTTTAAGTTCTTTTAATCTATAACTAAGGTCTGAGTCCTGAAGACCTTCTTCTAGAGCCTCAGTAAGTTTACTTAATCTAAATCAGTCCAGGTGCTGGGATGATTACCCTTATCTTGTCTCCTGCAAAATCACAGAGGTTTAGGGAGTTCCTTCAGACCCCCAATAAACTTCTCTGTGGAGGTCTGGGGAGTTTCTTCAGACCCCCAATGAAACTTGTTTAATCCTAAATGGGTCCTGTTAAGAATTCCTTCGTTATTTTGTCATGCTTTAAGGCCCAGGAAAGGCCTACGCAAAACTCTTGGTGGACTTTTGTTACATTCCAGCCTTTGTATAAGGGCACTGGCTTTTAATATTTAAGTTCACCATGCAGTCAGTACTGAAACAGTTGTTATAGAGGCCTGCCACACCTTCACTACGTTTTTCTTGCTCCAACGTAAACCTTGCAAGCTCTTGTAAATTCACTTAGTCTCCCCTATCAACCTGGCCTCATCTAAATTGGTATCACATTTTTCATTAATTTCACCCAAGGGAATAACTGGATAAGATAATGCAGGTGGTCATGCCTGAGACAGAAACCAGAGAGCTGGAGATCTCTTGTCCGCATTGACAGACTTGAAGATATTTTTAAACTATTCCTTGTCTTAATCACTCCCATCAATGGGAATAAGAATTCTCTCTTGATTTAGTTTACTATCCACTGAGCTAATTTGCCCATTTTTTTCTTCCAGGTGTACCTACTTGTAAAAAGCTGTTGGGAAGAAGATCCAGAAAAGAGACCAGATTTCAAAAAAATTGAGACTACACTTGCCAAGATATTTGGGTATTGCTGCAATGTTTACTTTTATTCACTAATTTCAGGGTTTTAAAAAAATTGTAGTTGACATTCAGTGGCACCTAAGAATGAGAATGTCTATTCCAGTGAGAAATTCCAGGTTGCAACCAACACCTGTTTCATAACATTAAAATGATATGGAGACTATCAGACCATTTTCCCAGGGAAATAATCACTTGAAAAGTTAAATAGTCAAGGTCAAAACTTGTCTGATTAAAAAGCAAACTTTAGCTGATTATAAATTTGTCTGTTACAAATAGAGCTTCTGGGTCCTTCTGTGGGTAATTAGGATTTAGAAGTGTAGCGTGAGTTCTGAGAATCTGTAAAGCTCCTAGACAATTGTTAACGTCCGCATGTTCTTAGGATCTTAAAGTCTTATAATCTCCAGCTTTGGCCCTAGGTACTTAAGACATGTCATGAATCAGAGCATAATTCAAGGTGGGGGAGAAAAGTACATAATTATCTGGTGAGATTAATTTCTAGATAACCCATGTTTTCAGTTAATACACTGCAGAATGAGAAAAATAACACTGAATTAAGAGTTAGGCAATCCAGTTTCTAGACTAAAATCTGATAAGAGTTTGCTGTGGGGCATTAGACAAAACACTTACCTTCACTGGGTATCACTTTTCTTGTTACAAAATTTGGATTGAACAAGATGATTTTTATGATTTTTTCCAGGTCTTTCTGTAGTTCTCATTAGGTCAAAAGATTCAGATACATAATGAGACTAAAAGTCTAGAGCTGGAGGAGATGAGGCGGAGTGAAGTTAATGAACATGTGGTCATTAATTAGTAGAACTAAGCTGTCAGTTGTGGGAATGGAACAGGAAATAATAATTAATTAATTCTAGCCCCCCTTTTTTTTCTCTTTTGCTGTCCTGTCCAGATGAGACTTTATGTGTGACTGATAAAATGTATGCTCATGAAGACACTGGGTCCTTGACACTCAGCCTTTAACGTGTGTGGTGGTTCTCAAACTTGGCTGCAGCTTGGAATCACCTGAGGAACTTTAAAAATACTGATACTGGGGTTTTACCCTAGAGAGGCTGATGTAATTGGTCTGGGGTACACACTGGTGTCAGGATTTTTAATAGCTCCCAGGTGATTAAAATATGCAGTCAAAGGTGAGAAACGGTTTCAATTGCATCAATTCATCCTAGAGTAAGATTACCCAACTTCATCTCTTACACCTGCTCCCACATCCATTCTACCCAACTAGACTCTGTACTGGCAGTTTCAAGTAAAAATTCCCTGGGGAACTTGTTAAAAGATTCCGTTTCTTCATTCCAAGCCTAGCAATTTTCAGTCACATAGGTCTGGTGTAGGGCACAAAACTGTGCTGGATTTTTAACAAACATCTCTCCCTATCCCAGGGGATGATGATGCAGGCCATCTTCTCCTGAGATCAGAAGTGATTGTTATTGTTGTAATAGTAAAATGACTGTGATTTATTCAGCACCTTCAATTGTGCCTTAGATGTTATGAACGTTATCTCTGATCCTCACAATGCTAGAACTCAATGTGTCTTCTCCCCGACCTCTGCACCAAGGTTTGTCATACCACCCACTGTCACACAAAGCTGGCATCTCATCTAAGTCTCCTTGATCTGACAAAATAATCCAGAGTTAGGCTTCTGGTGTCAGGACCCTGGCTCTCTCTACTGAGGAGCTAATATGAGGCTTGGCTTGGCTTTTCTTAGTCCTTCTCCTACACTTTCATTTATCACTTCTAGACCAGCTTTTAAAAGATTTTCCTTTATTGCAAATTGTTTCTTTTACATTTTAGAAAATACAAGTAAGCAAGCAAGAAAGTAAAACGTCACCTGTTTCCCAATAGGTGACCACCAGTCTTCAAAAAATAAAATTGAGATTATAATTTTTGCTATTTTATAAACTGACTTTTTCACTTAATAATACAGAGGGAGTGTCTTTCTATGTATTTGACAATACTAATTTGTATTTTATGATACGAATTAGAATGTTAATTTTCCATTGTCCTATCATATTTTAACTACATTTTTGTTATATATTTAGATTATTTTCAAATGTTTGCTCTTGTAAAGAATACTGTGACTTTTTTTGTTGTTAACTCTAAACACATTCATGATTGTTTCCTTAGGATAATTCTCAGAAATAGAGTTATAAGCTGATTGGTATATGCATTCTTAAAGCTTGTGACAGACTTTTACCAAATTGCTCTTCAGGAAGGTTTTGTACTGTATGTATTTCCTCCTTCTACACTGATTACCATCATTTTTACATTTGTTTTCCCTTTTTTAATCTTATTTTTGTCCTGAGGTTAAGTTGGGTTTTTTGTTTGTTGGTTTGAGACAGAGTCTCACTCTGTCACCCAGGCTGGAGTGCAGTGGCATGATCTCGACTCACTGCAACCTCCACCTCCCAGCTTCAAGCAATTCTCCTGCCTCAGTCTCTGGAGTAGCTGGCACGATCTCGACTCACTGCAACCTCCACCTCCCAGGTTCAAGTAATTCTTCTGCCTCAGCCTCTGGAGTAGCGCCACTATGCCCAGCTTATATTTGTATTTCTAGTAGAGACAGGGTTTCACCATGTTGGTCAGGCTGGTTTCAAACTCCTGACCTCAAGTGATCCTCTCACCTCGGACTCCCACAGTTCTGGGATTACAGGCGTGAGCCACTGTGCCTGGACGAGGTTGAGTTTTTTTGTTGTGTTTGTTGGCTTTTATTTTTCTTTAATTATCTGTTCATCATATTTGTCCATTGTTTTATTGGATGTTCACGTTTTCTTAATAATATATAAGAGCTCTTTATCTATTACTACCTGCAGACTTTTTCATGACCAAAAAAATGAAAGCTATATGGATACCTTGATCCGACGTCTACAGCTATATTCTCGAAACCTGGAACATCTGGTAGAGGAAAGGACACAGCTATACAAGGCAGAGAGGGACAGGGCTGACAGACTTAACTTTATGTTGCTTCCAAGGTAAGGCAAATCTTGCTGATGTGGGAGCTGAAATATTCAGCATATCCTTCTAGC